CACACACACAGCTTGTGCACAGTCATCCTGGCTGAGGAATTTTTTTTATAGAAATAACTGTATCTCACTCAATAATAATAAACTTGCCAGATTACAGCTCCACAAATGCCAAGAGAACACTGCAGATTTGCTTGCAGTTTAGCACTCAAATGCTTAGCACTGCAGCGGGTAACAGGAATTTTGAAGGCTAGCTATCATCCCTAGCCTGCAGGCTGCTCCCACATCACTGTATATGACCTATGTTCAGGGGTGCAGTGGACTGCCACTGACTTGGTCTCCATCAGTGCACCGTGAGGGGTGGGATTTTTATCTATTTCTTTTCTTTTTTGTTGTTGTTTACTTCTCAACTAGTAATTTCCCCAAGATATGATGCCTAATGATCTGACTATCCATGATATGCTTCAAATACCGGAATACATTACACTGTACGAAGGCCCTACGGTGATTTGCTAATTAGCTTAACCCTTATGGGACATAGAAGAAAGAAATTTTTATTAAAACAGGATAACCCTGGACTATATTGATCTGACTGAGAAATGAGTATTTTAGTCAAGATGAGTCTCAAGATGAGTACATGCTGGAAATGGTGATGCTGTTTCCATAGCAATGCCATGACAGCCTCTGGAGTGAAATAGTGTGCTACCAGGAAATGAAGGGAGTTCAAGTGCTATGAGCTACATAGTTCTGTGAGCAATCCAAATACATTCTCATAAAGAATATTTAGTACAGCTAGATTGTCCAAAGATTGCTGCTGATGTGAAGTAAATCTTACCAGTATGCTTCCAGCAGTCCTGTTTTCTCATTCACTACACGCAAGATGACCTACCTAAAGGCTTAAGCTATGGGCAACACTAAGTCTTTTCAGACCGAACATTAACAAATACGGTAACCTTTACCTCACTTCTTTTCCAGTGAAGAATATAATCCATAATTAAGGACTTCAACTCATTCTCTGCAACACAACCAAACACATTAAACCTTTTAGCAAAGAAAAGCCTCATATGTGCTCATTATTTACCAGCTGACCTTCTTTCCCCCTTCCTTTTCTCTCACATCACCCTGCCCAAATGATACTGAGTAAATCTGCTTGCAAGTGGGAAGCAATGTAGAGAAGTCTTGCATATTCCTCATGAAAATTCACACAGCCATAGCATAAAACTCACTTGTCTGTTTTTCACCCCAGTTACTGTTTATGCTAATATGAAAGCAAACCAGGAAACCACTAATTGTTTTTTATTTGCCTAAGGCTTTACCCAAGGCAAGTATTCTGGTCAAACTCTGCAGAGCTGATTTCAAATGTTTTCAAAAGAAGACAGCATGAAAGTAAAATCTGCATTACTTTGTCTTTTTGTCTTCAAAGAAATGAACAATTTTCAGTGATTTGTAAAACTGCTAAAATAATGATTATATCCCAACTGTTCCCAAATCAAATTCGACAAGACAAAGTACTTTACTTGAAAAACACCCTAACATACCACTGCTATTCCATTCTTTCTCCAGCCTTTCCTATGCAATTTGTAAAGATGTTCAAACATGAGCTGAATGTCCAGAAACTCTACCACTGTGTTTGTTGTTTGTGTCATTGTCACAACCAGCCTCTTGGGTAAACAGATTGCAGTTCATTATATGTAGCAGTGCTGCCTCTGAGGGAAAATAGAAAGACAAATACACATCACTGCCAGATCCCTTATTAACAAACACCACTTCATCCCAAAATGGTTTATATTTATTGTTTTAAACATGTATTTCAAGGAATAAAGCCTTGCATGTAAACCAGCAAATGCTTCATTTCCATATTGCATCTATCAAAAAGATGTGAAGCAAGCATTTTCAGAACTGTCTGAGCCTCCTCCTGCCTGTCCCCTTAAGCTGCAGAAGGCACCAAGCCCAGCAACATTCATTTATAATTGAAACTGCTTGCTTGGCAGAAATTTTTCATCTTGGTGTGTCATAATTGCAACCAGGACACCCAATGTCTTTACCAGAAGCTCATCTACTTCCAGGAGAGTTTTATTTACCTGGGTATTCTATAGGACAGAAATGCAGTTTCCTTATGGGACAGATATTGAAATCTAGTGGAAAACATGCCCCTGCAATTTTTTCAAGGACTTATATGACTCTATATGGATGAAAAGATACTTGTGGAAAGACTGATGCAAGTTTAACTGCTCATTCCCTTCATCCAGTTACTTCAGTCTCCCAGTTAATTCCCCAATATGAGCAATATTCTGTAACCACTTCATATTCTCTTGGAACACCTAACTCTGTTTATCACCTATATTCTGTTTATCAAAGGATTAAGTAAAAGTAATCTGCCTGATGATCTGTTTGGACAACTGAGTACAGATAGAGTACAGATATTGTCTGAAACAGAAGTGGATACCACCTACTTAACTCAGTCTACTCCCTTGAGTACATAACGGGTACATAATGGTATTCAGCCACAAAAGTCAATGTGCTGCTACCACGGCCAACTTAGCAAGCATTGTTTGCCCCTAGCACTGATCATCCCTGACTTAGGTGTTCTCCTATCACCTGAACTCTCTTATCACAGTCCTCCCAGATGTCCATTCATGTGTATCTAAAAGAAGCAGCAATATCTGATGCCAATCCAGGATAGAAATCCAGTTATTCTGAAGTTATCCATGTAAGTATCCCAAAACCATTGTCTCAGATACAGGAAAAGAATCCTACCCTAAAACTCAGAAATACCCTTTTAATCTCCCCTTCATCACCACTCATACTAAGAAATTGAGTGTGCCACTATAAAAAGCATGTTTTAAGAGTTAAATCAATGATTTAGTCAGAAACTCTAAAACACTTTTTATCAGTAAATATTTGATGATCACAGTGTGCTAATGCTTGAAGCAGATCACAGTGGAACATGCAGGAGTAGAAACAGTAACAGCCTACACAGTTATTCAGTCTCAAATAATTTTGCTACCCATGCTGTTCCATCAAGACATACATATGGTAGGAGCTATGATCGTAAAACTAAGTCTGTTTTTCAGCTCTTTCCTAGTGTATTGCTAGAATTGGAAACATCCTTGGAGACCAAGTGCTTCTGAAGCCTGCATACAAGTGTTTTCATAAGAAAGGCAAATGAAATGTTAATCTGGTCTATGAAATTTATAGTTTTCAGAAGCGATTTCTCCCTCAATTTTTCCATCCTCAAAATAGTAGACACATTCATCTATCTACCAGCATCTTAACTTTCTGTCCTGAACCCAGGATAAACTGATCAACATATATAGAGGGTGTGAAGATAAAAACCTCTGCATAAATGCCAAGGATTATTTTATACTACCATAATCACAATATTTTGTACTGATTGCTCAAATGCTCCCATAGTTAGCCTTTTATTTTCAAGGATTTATACACATTTGGGGTTTAAAGATTAATTTGGGTATGGTATTTGTCAGAAAGCTCTCAGCACGGCAAATGACAATAAAAACTCATGTTGTCCTCATGAACTGTAATAACGGTTTGATTTTTTAAAACTCATCAGAGGCGTTTCCCCTGGCAATCCATATTTTATAAAACAGCTTTTAACACAAAAGGGAGGGCCAAAAGCAAAGGCTTATCTTGCATAAATATTTTGGAATGTGATCTGGTATCACATACAGACATACAGAGATTGCTGTGCTTGGTCTGACTCACTGTTCTGCTTTAGAAGAGGAAGATACACAGTAGAGGAGAAGACAGTAATTATGCATAAAAGTGCCCAGGACAGAGACAAGACTGGAAGGTGAAGCTACCGTGAGGAGGATACTGTCAGGAGCCATGCTGCTGCTCCCTACAGGCATGCTGGCAAACCATTTCCCCAGTCTGTGCTCTCTTACTAAAGAATGGAAGTACAGTTGCTTGGGTATTGAAGGCAGACATAGTTGGACTTTGAAGAACCCCATATAAATTCATCCTTTATGAGCAGTCATATCAAAGAGGGTACCACTCAGCTTGCCTATCTAGACAGGTAGAAAGGCAGAAAAAGAACATGAATGTGGAACCAAACTGAGGAGATATTCCCTAAAATCCCGAGTAAAGGCACTGACACTTGACCTTGCAAAGGTAGTTTAAGGACATTAAGAGTTGTTTGATTTAATGAAAATGTTCCCTGGGACACTAACAAAGCATGGGTTAAGCTCCACAGATGATACAGCCTATGAAGGAATAAATGAAAACAACCACCAGAGACAGGGAGCACACCCCATCACACTGGAGCTATCTTTTAGGAATCTTCCCCTGGCAGGACAACTTCATTTTGATGTCTAATAGTCCCTCATACAAATCTACCGAGAAATATTCTTCCAACTCCTTTTGAAACAGCTAAAAAGTAACAACCAAAGGAACACAACAATCTGAGCTGTCCCCATAACCTGTTTCTCTTCTTTCTGGTCCCTTAATATTCTGCAAAACACAGAGGACTGCTTTTCTTGGCTACATTTTCTTTTGCTTCTCCCCCAGGCTACCCTGGTGCAATGCAAGGGGCAGACTCACCGATGACTGGAACAATCCCACAAGACAGATTTCAGGATGATGCCAGCACTTGATACAGCAATAACTGCATTAATCACAGACACAGCAACTCACACAGAGCAGCTGAGCCATACCTCCAAACTGTGCTCATATCAGGCATTAGGTTCTGGGGAGCAGGATGATAGAGAACAGGGGGTATAAGTCAGAGTAAGGACTGACCTTGCAGCAAAACAAGGTGGAGTAGATTAGTGTGAAATATCTTCAGGAACAACAGTACAATCTTCTAGTCAGTTGAATAGTAACCATTCAGCTGGCATCAGTTTCCTATTTACCTGTCATTAATCAACTACAAGACTGTTATTTTTCACATAAAATTCCTTGATTTTTGCAACCTCTTAGCTTTCTCATGGCACCTGAGCATTTTCTGTTACAAATACTGCACGGATTCTGATACGTAAAGGTATATTTTAAAAACTGCAGAAAAATACTACCCCCAATGAGCAAGGAACCACAATAAAGGATACTGAAGCTCCTATCTGTGATTGCTAAATGCCAGAGGTTAATCCTGAGATCATCTGCTGACATGTATGTCTCACAGTCACTGTTGACGGATATTGAGTTGACATGATAGGTGTGACCATTAGCAAAGATTCTCCGGGGAGTGACTTCTACCATCAGATCCATAGGTTTCAACACAGGCACCTGCCAAAAAAATTGAAACACAAACCAGAAAAGGAGTGAGATTGTAAGTAATTTTTTGCTAAGATAATGAGAGCTTCAATGGTGAGCAAGCATTCAAAAACTGTGACATTAAAAAGCTTCTTCACAGTGTATGCACACTGAATTTCTCTGTGGAAAGAGTGCTGGGCAAGACCATCCCTGCCAAGGAGAAAGGGAGAGACAGGAGAGCCATGGAAAGCCAGGCAGAGCAATGGGAAGCCTGGACCGTGGGAAGGGAGGCACTGGCAGCTGCCACACAACAGCCCTGTCTCACAGCAGGAGCTATTCACTCACACAGGTGGGAGGCTCTGGCTTGGACAAGCAGTAAAGTCGTAGTATGTTGCTTCTGCTAAAGAGTTTGCTGTTAGCTGTAAATCACCTAGAGCATTTCTGTTGGTACTTGATGTCTCTTTCTCAGGAAAGCGGTGTAAAGGTTATAATCTCACCAAAGCATAATAATGAAGCCTTGGATTACAAAACCAACAACTGAATTGACACACTGTACATAAACACTCCTGGAAAAAAAGAAGACCACAGACTATCACTCATCATTGTACCCTCATTATTTCCCTCTGTCTCACTGCAATATCTTGCTTCAGTAACTAGAAACTGTCAATTTATTACTTATCAGTAAAGCAGTAAACACTGTAAGGCTGTAGTCCATGATTGAGACTATATGATGTTGCTGAACATGCAACAGAAACAACCTATCATGTATCAGTCCACAAGATAGTTTAAAGAGGAACACAGAGAAGTTAAAGCTTTTAGTTTAGCTTGCCACTAAAGGAACAAAACAATGATTCCCTCAGCCTTTGAATTCTCAGACTATAAGCAATCTGGACAGATAAATATTTCATCAATGTAGTCATCTTTACACTTTGGAGGCTTTTTTTCACAATGGACAATACTGGCTAGTATTGGAGATGGGGTTTAGTTGTTTGGTTTTAATAATAAAGAAATACTAGCATTTATACAATGTAGCCTTTCAGTTCTAACCTTTAGCTAATTTCTTCGCCAAAACACCTGAGTGAATTCAGCCATTAAAGTCCAAGAGAAAATAAGCTATTACATTATCATGGGGGTGTTGGTCTCTTCTGCCAAGTAACAAACAATAGGACAAGAAGGAATGGTCACAAGTTGCACCAGGTGAAGTTTAGGTTGGCTATTAGGAAAAATCACTTCACTTGGCAGCATTGGATCAGGCTGCCCAGAATAGTGGTGGAGTCATCATCCCTGGCGGCATTTAAAAGATGTGGCACTCAGGAACATGGTTCAGAGTTGAATCTGGCAGTATTAGGTTTACAGCTGGACTCAAAGACCTCAAAGGTCTTTGGCAACCAAAATAATTCTATGATCATATACACTTACATGAGTTCCATGACTGCATCTGAGAATGCATGAAGGGAGATTTAGATCAGATATTAGGAAAAAAATCTTCACTATGAGGGTGCTGAGGTGCTGGCACAGGGTGCCCAGAGAAGCTGTGGCTGCCCCATCCCTGGCAGTGTTCAAGGCCAGGTTAGACAGGGTTTGGAGCAACCTGGTCTAGTGGAAGGTGTCCCTGCCCATGGCAGAGGGCTGGAACTAAATTACCTTTAAGGTCATTCCCAACCCAAACCATCCTATGATTCTATGATCTGTTCAGCAATGCGGAACCGCATGTTCATTGGAGTACAGACTACTGCAAACCTCAAATAGGAGAAAATTCCTTTATACTACTGAAATAAGGATGTGACTGAAATTTGGGGTACTGCCTTTAATTCATTTGCTCTGAATGAGGCAAGAATACTGTTTAAGATTAATTACAGGTAATGCTTCCAGCACACCAGGCTGAAGAATCTTGTGTGAAAGTACATTAATTCATGCTGAGAGAATATTGTCAGGAAGAATAAAACTGACAAACTCTCTACATGTATTTGTTTTAGTCATGATACCATAAAGCGTTTGTGACCTGAAAGTGTGCAACAGATTCAAGATCAGTCAGCTAAAACTTCAATGAGAATAATTACATACTAGCATTAAGTACATATTTAAATCTTTTACTCAGCACCTATGACTGCCACGTTTGTACAGAAACAACTGGATTTGGGGCAAAGACAGCAGCTTACCTGCAGTGATGTTACTGTAGAAAGATCTTTAAGTTTCCCTTCTTCATCTTTTAAGTTGTACCCCTCTGGTCTCTTGTCTCTTTCAGTAATTTTCCATAATTTGATTGTTTTATCTTCAAAAGAAAAGAAAAACAACTGTCAGCATAGGAATTCTGAATGCGGTTACTCACCTTTCACATGTATTCCCTAAAGCAGATTCTGCACCTTAGTTTAGACAAGTCCTGTGCTAAAGTCTGGATCACTTAGTTTTGCACATCCAGAAAATGTTGCCAACAGAAAAAATACACATAGAGCACATTCTATACCTTCAAACTGAGTCAGAGGCTCCTGGCAGCTGACAGACCACGTAGAGCAAAAGCCATTCATGTATCCAACTTGGCAGTTTACAGGTGAAACAGACAAAAACCTCTCAGTGCTCACTCCTGAAGCTCAGACTGACAATTTGACTGCACGGAAATAATCTTGATATTAAAGCCAGTTTGCCAGGTTACTTATGAACAGCATGAGAAGAGCACGGAGTAGACAGACAAACCACAGATACCTGCCTAGCCTGTTGTGGGAATGGGCAGTGATAAATTGGGGTAACATCAGGAGCTCCAGCAAATGAAAGGTTGTGTGAAAATGAGACATTTCTCCCTCCTAAGGGAAAGCACTTGAGAACTGAAGGAAAAAAAAACAAACTGAGAGAACTGCATTGTAAGGGTAAGGAAGAGAAGTTGGGAGAAAAATACACTACTCTTACATGGAATGGAATTAAATCTAAACTCTCCCTTTTTCATGATGGGTGAAACATAGTATTAGGATGCCTCTACTTAGCAAAGAGCCTGTGAAGCCGACAAAAAGAAGTTTTAAACATTTCAGATGGAGTTTGTCCTTGGTTTTGTAGTAGCTGAAATGCAGATCTCCCTAACGTTGATCGTCCAGTCCCCTCTGGACATGCACCCAAGCTGCCAACCCTAACACTCCCTAGACTGAAAAAATCAATGCCAAGTCTTGTAATGAAAAAAATGTCTCCCAAACTTCCAATGGTTGTTTAAGTCATCTGCTCATGGGGTAGCCAAAACCCTTCCAAAGCTTCTGCACTTCAGTTGCCACCACAGCCTTCATTAGCCTCAGTTTCTTCATCAGGTCTGGTTTCATCCCACTTTCTTTCTTTTCCCCTCTTTACCCAAGTACACAGCAGAGAATAATTATTTTTCCAGTGTAGCTGATCCAAATGCTTCTTTCAAATGCTAATACAAATCATTTTAAAGGCAGGACATATGAATACATGAACCGCTTTGCACTTCTATGGCAACTTTAACTTTGACCTTTTTCTGTTTCAAAATCAATCCCTCTGGTACTCTGAAGGCTTTCACTATTATGCACCTACTAACAATATCAATACGTTAATTTTCAAGCAACAAAAACATTACAATTGATCAATCTACAGAACAAGAGATCAGTTCAATCCACAACTAAAACGCTCCATTTAAACATTCAATACGTTCCATTTGTATCAGTCATTTTAATTAATGGATAAAAACACATATCGGCTGGCATTTTGGGGGACTTTTGTTACATGTAAACAGTGTATTCCTGTTTATCTATTCTAAAATGTATAAATACAGCAATTGTAAGATTAATTATAAGAAAAAACACATTGTTGGACTTAACTGCTATTGATAAACCCTTCCCTTTCCTGAGTGAGAACTGTTTCATTAGTGATTGAAGGTATTGCATGCGTTGGTTTTCTTGTCTTTCATCTGCTTCTGCACTTTAAATACTCCCTAGAAATTCTGAGCATGCTTATATTTTGCAAAATATAGAACCATCTCTAAGGTTCAGTATTCATTGAGTCTCAAGGGTGTTGTGAAGTTTAAATTAATTAATGTCTGGTAAGGAGTCTCAAATCCTCAGACGAAATAATCTATACAGGCCAAATTCTGATCTACCCCATGTAGCTCACACTGAAAGTGGCCCAAATATATTCTGTGACAAAAGATACCAACGAATCCTAATAATTTATTATTATACTATAAAATCAGTTCAGTTTACAGTGCAAACCAGAAATTTGCTAGCTGCAAGCAGTGCAAATCCACAGTGGGATTTGAAACCTACCGTGGTTTCTTTCTGTTGCAATCAAAGCTTAGCTGTTGACTTGCTGGTATTGCACAAACTGGAAAGAAACCAAAATCTCCTCTGAGAGAGGTGACCTGTACAGAAACAGCCTCAGCAAAAGTTCTCCTTTTAGAAGGAAGGACAGATTTCGGCAGGTGAAGACCTGTCAACTCTCCTACAATGAGGATGAGATTTAGATGGACTCTCCCCTCATGTTCCCTAACAGGTTGTGCCTATTCCAGCAAATGTCCACCTGTGTCAGCAGGAAGAAAAGATGCTGCTTCACAGTTCTCATTTTTCTGACCAAAACTGTGCTTAAGATCCTAAACTACAGGAGAGCAAAATATCAGGAATTGCATTAAAATATAAAGCTCTGAAATTAGTAAATATAAACCAGTACTGAAGATATTTCTACAACCTGTCCAATATTAGCATGTGTGATGGCAATGCCTTCATTCTCTACAAGTTAAGGAAAATACTATTATCCTTTTTTATAGGCATGGAATTGATATACATTGCCAACGACTTCTCAGGGGTATTCTGTGAGACATCAAGGAATTCAGCATGGGCCTGCTGTATCCTAAATTTAAAGCTATCTTTAAGAGTATACCAAGAGGAGAATCTTCAGACTTCAACCCTGCTGTGCCAGGAAGATAGGAATCCTCCTTGGCACACAAAAATGTTTTGTGATTCAAACCCAAATCCAAGACTCCGCCAGTGGCACCACTTCTGTTTTCCTCACCATAAAGACGTCTGCTGGGATGCTTCAGAATTAAGAAAGGGAAAAAACAAAGACCAAAGTATTTTGCAAGGCTTGCACAGTGTTGGCTGCAACTTGATTAAGCCATAGCAACACTAAGAGTGATTATTTCTTCGTTTATCTCTTCCTGTATTTCTCAGTTTCCAAAACCAAACTTTAAAATTAAAAGGGAGATGTTTACTTTTAATAATCTGCACTATTACAGGGGTAACGGGTTCAAACTTAAACAGGGGGAGTTTAGCTTTGATATAAGGAGGAAGTTCTTTACTTTAAGGGTGGTGAGGCACTGGAATGGGTTGCCCAAGGAAGTTGTGAATGCTCCATCCCTGGTGGTGCTCTAGGCCAGGTTGGACAAAGCCTTGGGTGACATGGTTTAGTGTGAGGTGTCCCTGCCCATGGCAGGGGGGTTGGAACTGGATGATCTTAAGGTCCTTTCCAACCCTAACTATTCTATGATTCTATTAATTTTGTATCCTGCACTTGTAATAAGATGTTCTTAAAGTTGTCATAAGTAGAACAGATATTTTGACCAAGAAAAATGTGCAGCAGTAAACTCCCAAACTTTGTAAGTAGATGACTAATCTTTCAAATCACGTAGCTATAATAGATATGTTTCATTTCAAATATTGCAACAGTGTCCCCTGAAAGTCCAAAGACAACTTGAAGTTAAAGTTTCCTTTAACAAGTCCGTTAACGAAAACAGAATACAAAACATAAAATTATTTACTAATTATTAATGTAAATATTAGTTATTACTACAAATTTTAACTGGAAGCAATCATTTTGCTCTACAGCATCAATTCACAAAGTGAGATTACACTACTTCTATACCAGCAATTTTGAATTATGCTCAAACTTCACAAGAAAAAGACTTTTCTGTTAAAAATTATATCCAACATTTAAAATTTAAAATATTATTTTCATCAGCAATGATAAAGGTTGTGGGTGTCAATATGTTCAAAATGTTTCCTAACTCACACCTGAACAGGTTGGCCTCCATTCAGTTTCTTCCCGCTATGCTACATCTGCATATCCCCTCTCAGCAATACTACTGCATTTTTTAATCACTAAGCCTTAAGCATGCTAGAAAGATGAGTCAGGATCAATATCCTGGCATTATTACTACAGCCTTCCAAAGACTTGTGTAACTCCTTAGAACTCAACCATTCTAATGATAATGAATGAAAAGAAAAAGAAATTAATCCCTTATCTACATTCATTTCCACATCTACGAAGAATAACAGTTATGACAAATGCAGCAGACAAAACACTAAATCCCCTGTGAAACATAGCTGCTGAGTAAGGCAATGCCCTTGTCACAAAATGTACTTCAGGACAGCACTGCATGTTAGTAACAAAAATTGATAGTTCACTGAATGTTCACTATGGATAATCACTAGGAAAAACCCTATGGCTATGAATAAAATACATAAATAACAGATATAAGAGTCAATATGACAGTCTTGGCAAACTCTGTAAGAGAGAATTACTAAACCACTAGATTAAAATGAACAAATATATGCAGTCAGGACTAAAATGCACAAAAGCAAATAGGCTGATATGTCCTACATTCTTTCATCTATCTTACCGTTTGTTGATAAAAGTGAGTGAGCTGCATTTTGCTGTGGTAACCACTTGATCTTGTTTATTTTTTCTTCTATCTCCAAGCTCTTCAAATAATCAAATTCAGGTTCATGGCTCTGGAAAGTGCTGTAAACATTGTACTCCCCCTGATTGTAAGGCTCATTTTTACTCTGCAGAGAATAAAAACAACAAAAACATATGGTTTATGATGGCAATACATCTCCATCTCTTAGGAAAGGTGCATAGGCAGCCCTATAAATATAAAAATATTAAAAGTTTAATTTAATCTCTCATCCAAAAAGTGATATTGACAGATTTGTGTCTACAGAAATGAAATTGCCTCTAAGTATTGAAGCAACATTTAATAAAAGGCAGCATATTTGAAGAAACTTCAATTATTTAGAAAAGCTTTCTACAAGAGATACTGAAAATGTGAAACATAAAGATATCACAGCAAAGGCATTGTTTTAAATGGAATGGCTCCATCAAACAGGCAAAAGCTATTCAAATGATGTAGAAGTAAAACAAAATCAACCTTCTTTGTTCTTAGCTTAGAATTTTAGAGCTTTAATGCAGTGTTTGTTTGGATCAACAAACTTCCAAGTAAAATATCCTTACCCACATTCACTTCCTCTCCAAAGTGGTGACATTCTGTCTTACTGAATCTTGAGATCATAAACAGGTCTGTTAGCTAGATCCAATCAAAGTATTAAAAATAAAGCCAGGTTTTAGCAAGTTAAGGACTACATTGGTAGCTCACATACCTCAGGTTCCCTTTGGAATATAACAACCCGACCCCCCTTGTCACCAGTAGCCAGCAGTTCTCCAGTGTGGTTGAACTCAACTGTAGAAATAATATCAGCTGTAAGGAAAAAGAAAATAAAAAAGGCAAATTTTAGATAGCAACACAAAGCCATTAGAAATATCAAGCACTCCACAAAAATGCAACAAATGAGGGCCTTGAAGGGATACATTCAATAAATTCAACAGAAAGTCACTAATGCAAACAGGCTGCATGCCATGAGAATCTGAGGTTGCTGCACAGTGAAACAAGTGCAAACATAACGATGCAAATTTGTGTTTCCAGCACATCTGCAGTTTGGGAGTGGAGAAGATCTCTGGAGAGGTTATGTTTCAATAAGAGCGATTTCAGCCTGCTACAGAGCTTTTCTTCAGTACTGGCAATAGCAACAGCATTGGCCTCCTGCTATTTCCTCTAGCAAAGACCAACATAATGTCTCAGTCCTGTTGCATGTATTATTTATACTTCACCCTTTACAAAGGTTTTAATGTAACTTCCTAGCACGTTTTCTCAAGTATGTGTTTGAGCTAGGAGTGCAAAAGTAAAGGAGATGCAGTCCATCCTACCACAGAGGAATAAAAGCAAAATCAGAACTGCTCACTGTGCAATGCTGGCAAGAGCCCATTCAAATCATGGTTTGGTAAATCATTTCAGCCCCATGAAAATGTGCCATCAGAAGATAAAAAGATGCCAGTGTCTTCTTTTATTAATTTCCAATATCTCCCTTTCCCCAAGCAATTGCATCAGCTTAAACAAGAAACCTCATCAAAACCTCAGGCCAGTTTTGAGTACAAATTACTACACATCAGGATGAGAAGGAAGAGACTGTAGAAGCAAAAGAACTGGTTCTTCTGTTTGTATGACAGTAAATGCTAGAATCATAATCTACAGTTAATCCTACAGTATTAGCAAAATTTGAATTAAAATGCCTAGTGCAACAGTAAATTAAGAAGCCATCATATATACAATCACGGACAAATTCAGGGTATTACTCAGAGACTGCATGTACGAATCCTCTATGATGATCAGCATCCACTCATTAGGAACGTGGGCCAGATTTTTAGAAGCATCAGTAGCTAGCAGCTCCCCTTTAGGCATGAAATGCTGTGGTTTTCAAACACGTTCATCATCCATCAGTTTATACTGAGAACAATGAGCCAACAGTGGGATAAGCTCTTTTGAAAAACTAGCCCTAAATGAGTTCACTAAATTTCAAAGGAATTGAAATAACAAGTGGATGTACCATTTACTTGCTACATTTTATGAATTGAAAACATCTGTTCCCATTATTCTTTTAATAAACTTGCATTTGAGTGTGAGAAAGATTCTGTTGCCAGTAGCTCTCATCAGCAACACAGCCATCCAAAACCAGATTCTTACTGGAACATTATAGACAATTTGTCATCTAAAAAAAGGAAAACTTTACCCTATTCATGGTAAAGTAAAATACCTTTCATTTTTTTAAGAGATCTTCACCATCACATTGCTCTGTCTAAAAGACAACCAACAAAACCAAATCTGCCTCCTTTTCCCCCTCCATGCCTTACTTATATAAAGGAGGAAGGGGAATCATAAAGTATGCGTATCATTTTCTTTCTTGATGAATAAAATGTATGGATGTATAGACTTTGAGAAAAATAGAACAAGATGACTCACAATATTTTGGGTCTGAACCCAAAGCTCTCAAAGTTAATAGCACCTGATTTTTATGTGGGCTTCCACAGACTGTATTTTATAGGTAATAAAATAAAAACCCTAAAGCCCTACTCTTATTAGAGTACAGGAAGATTAGAGAGACTCTGCTTATGGTTGACAATGCTCTGGGACTTGGGATGGGTTGAGTTTGATCTAAAAAGTGGCATTATTTTTTTAATCTAAAAATCTAATCAACTTTTCTGGCACGTTCATCTGTAGTGCTTCCAGTGGGAAAACATTTCTGGGCTATTTTGTTCTTACCCTGTAAAATTCATACTGATAGTAGTTGTGGGCTCCTGCTTATAAAAGAATACCTGCATGGTTTTACTAATTTCCAGCTCTATCTTACCCCAGCCATAGAGGCAGAACTGAAGCCTCATACTGACAGTCGTTTTTAGAATGGAGTCTCCTATCTTAAGTGTGCAATGGAGGAAAAGGGTAAATACAGAGGGGAGGAATGTTGCATCTGTTAAAATACATGTGTATCTGTGTGTGTATGCATGGCATGTGTAATGCTTATGCGACTTTCTCAACAGGTCACAAAAGAATCATATAAAATAACCATGCAAAAGGAATGAATGCCACTTGAATTTGTATGCGTGAATACACTTGCTTTTGACCTGGAATACTTCCACCATGGCATGAAATACTCTTTTCAATGGTCACAATGGTCACAAAATACTGTATTGCACTTTACAGAGGGTATCAGCCAACACCCAGTAAAGTCCACAGAAGCATCTGCACAGACTTCAGTAGTAACTGAACTATGGTTATAATAAAACAGCTCTGCATTTTGTTCTTATATTGCATTTGTCATTAAAATATTGTCTGCAGTTAAGTGATCATTCCTTAAAGAAAAGCAGCTAAAGCATTAAGTATCTGTGGGCAGTGTAAGCAATGATGTTCTGAGGCAAAGTTCTCTCCCCCTCAAGGTGTTTCTTCTAGCTGTACCCCTCTTTTCTATTAGAAAAAGTAATTCTGAACTGAAAGCTACCTATTATTCTTAAATTAACTTGTTCTGAAAAAGAGCAGATCCAATATTACAACCTCGGAGGCTATGCAGCTTGCTGGTAAAAAATTATCCTTGAATTGAAAATCACTTTTATTGATCCTGTAAATAACAGCTGAAAACAACAGCAAAAATATATATAATCTTATCCAGCCTATCTGTTCAGCAGGCAAACATTAGTCATGCTGCTTTCATAAGAAAGATTAGCCAGGCTGCCTCTTCCTGAGACAGAGGAAGTAGGAAAAGAATCCATCAACAAAGCTCTCCATACCCTTCTGCAGAACATTCCCCTATATATTTATTAATGCTACAGCAGCATCAGCCACTATGGTACCATCTTGCAGATTCTTCCATTGGAGAATGGCCCCCTGACTGTGCAGAGCAATTAACTACCAGATTTCACCCTGCCCGGGATATATAAATGCTCCATAATGGAAGCGCTGATGAATTTGCATGTACAGTAAGCCCTTGGCAAGGGATGGAAGAGATGAAAGGCTCCTGTCAGCCTTCTGCACTACACGTTCCATATCTCTGATGGCAGTGCCCAGCTTTGCACTAACGAACAGGATTATCAGAGACAGAGATAATTTACCTATTAAGAACAATTATGGGTAACCTCAATGCCAACGGGCAAACATTTCCAATCAGATTACAAATCCCAACTTTTGTCCAATATTAATCTTCCTATTCCATTCTTAAATTCCCCATTTTTTTCTATGTGGAAATATATATAAACTTGGATTTGAAAGTCGCCATGCTCAGCATTTTCACTCAGTTAAAGAGCATGACTTGGACACCCAAAGTACAGACAACTGACTAAGAAAAGCAAACAAAAAACCTTCAAAATATTAAAATACTCCGGGGGGGTACACACCTGGTCATGTTTCACATCTGGCCACAGTAAATTGCTCCGGGATGTACAATACATTACAAACTTCATACCCCAGACTAATGCTACATATTCACAGAAAGACATCACACAAAGATATCTGTAGCTGATTGTACTGCTCTTCCCTCAACTTCATGAGTATTTTCCCAGTATGGATACAAACCCTCCAGCAGTCCTTCCTCTGTCATCTCAGCACAGGGTGGGATGAAACAAAGGTTGGTACCCATAGCTCAGATTAATTCTGGCCTTTATTTCACACAATCACATACTTGCAGTGTTCTAGCCTCTTACAGGATTATCTTAAGGGGGTTTAATACCTTATTCCTATACAACACAAAGGGGTCCAAATACTTTTATGATAATTAAAGCCTTATCAATATAATAAAACTTTGCAACATTTTGGGCACTCTAGCATAATTTCATGGCATTTTCCACCTACTTTACACTCAGTGAAGCAAAGTCTGAACATACTCATCTTTATACAGTCTTTTGTCAGAAACTTCAAGCAACTCTAAGAAAAACTCAACTATAATTTTCTAATTTACTAATGATTTCTAACTTTCTGGAGCTTTCCATCTGAAGGTCCTGGTATAATGTTATTTTGCATCAGAAGATCAGGAAATCAAAGAAAATTTCAAAACTGTTTCACCCAGCACAGAAATGGAGCTTTTTGGACAGCAGGAGTGAAGTTTGAGGGCAAACATCACACAAGGGTACAGTTATGATGGTTTAAGCCTAGCCAGCAACTAAGTACCATGCAGTCACTCACTCATCAGGAAAACAGGGCAAAGAAGATCAGAGAATATAATATTCTGTTGAATTGCAATATAATCCTGATAAAGAATTAAGGGATTTGGAATGAGCCAAAACACTGGAATTAACATCAGTACTTTTATTAAAAAAGAAAAAGCTGTGAAATCCTACCAGCCAGAACAGGACAGAACTTCTCCTTTCTATCACATCCACCACAAACAGCATGGCAACACTATCAGCCTGAACTGACTGAATCAGCATCTAGGTCAGGTATTTGTTGCTGTTGTGTTCCCACTGGCCAGCAGGCAATCTTGTAGTCTATGTTACCAAGTTCTGACCTGGCCTAACCTTGGTTTGTGAAATCCAATATGATCACAGCACAATCTGGCATGGCTGCAAGCAATGTTCAGTCGTACTGATACAAAAATCCCTGAGGAGCGTAATCTGGAAGAAACAACAAAGAAGGCTGCAACAAAGAGAGCCATAAAACAAAAGGACAAATGGTAGATGAAAGAGGAGTATTACGGTATCTGGAGTGAAGGGAAGGCCATCACAGTGAGCTGTGTTGTCAGAATTTAGTTTAGACTTGGGCAAAAAATAAAAGAAGGGGGTGAGGGGGAACAAACAAATGGATGGAAAGAAATTTTTAAGCTGAAGTTTCAAAGGTTTCCTCGAGCAGCTAGAAACAAGGTATGCAAACCTCAAAGCTATGAA